TCCAATTACTAAAAGAAAGTTGCCTTCGCCGTCGAAAACGAGTGCCTTGATTGCTTGCTTTGAACGAGACAATTCGTCTTCGAATAGAAGTAACTCATAGTCTGATCGGTAGAGGTGACGCCTGAGAGCATGAAAGATACTATCCATTTCTCATCAAAATGGAACAAGAGCTCGAAGTTTCGCATGCACTAATTTACACATCAGGGAGCCGCGTAGGTTGAATACTGCACTTTTGTACAATCTGTCGTTAAAAGGAAATGCAATGTAATTCCTTTTTAAGCACTAAGGGCTTGCTCATATATATATATACATATATATATATATATATATATATATATAAACGTGCATATCAATAGTAAATATGTTCAGCTATTGTACTAACTGCACGTGAAAACCGTCGAGGCGAAGACTATCCCTGTTTTCTCAGATGATACTTTTGACCGTTATTTATATTCAGGAACAAAGAAATCCAAACGGTGTTGCTGATGACACCCGGAAATCCTTAAATAGATCAGTTTATGTAAACTCTACAAATCCAAACTTTTAATGGACATCCGGTACAGCATCTGACCGGCAATGATGTCTTCTCTTCACACACGAACGTTCCGATCGCCATTGAAGGCCAACATCCTCACGGGAAGAACAGTATATCGAGCAAACAACTTGCGTGATCCGATAGAGCCACGAAAGCTTGTTGAATAGACTTGTTGAATAGACTTACTAAATTAAGAAAACTAAGCATTTTAGTGCGAACTTCGATCCCATAGGTGCCGCTGTTCACTTTGATAACAGGTTTCCAAGGCTTATATCTTACCATATTAGTTTCCCATGAGTGACCGTGGGGCTCAACTCACCATGTACGAGCGGATTGCCGAATTTAACCAGCGAGTTGCATTCTAGAGCATACACTTGGGAACAAATAGAAACTTCACCTTCAATCTTCCAGTCCTCGACGATACAAATGGGCCTCTTGCGAAAGGGTTGTCCTCGACGATCTGGGTAGAGGGTAGAATTGAAATGAGCCTCCCGCGAGAGGGTTCTTCCAAACACCTTTCCGAAAGACATCAACAATGTTGAGAGGAAATTATCATTGTATTTTCTGTCACCGTGTTAACAGAAGTACATCATGAAGTTCCGAGGAAGTGGAAAGGAAACTTCGGTTGTTCTAGTGGCACAAGGTCATGCCCCTGGTACCCTGAAAAGAACCAAGCATCAGAAGCGAGACGTCTTCAGGTGTTCGATAGTCGTTGTCTCAGAACCATAGCTCGTGTGGGTTGGTGTCGGCGAATCCGTAACGAAGTAGTTGGAAAGGGCGTTTTTGGTTGTGTAACGGGTACTTCCATTGAAGAATGTGTCAAGCACCAGAAGCTGCGTTGGTTGGGACAT